CCGTAACTGTGTCGTTCAATGGTGGTAACGCGTACCTGGAGCTCTCCATATGAAAGTCCGGCGAGAATCAGACTACAAGCTAAACCTGGACTCGTCGAAAAACGTCACACAAGCCCACTGTCGCGGCGTCCACAATGCATGCTCTCTACTCCAGGCTAACCGCGACGACAGTGAGTTGCGGTAAGTGGAACGCATCTGCCAGGTTTTACGAGCATATAGACCAATCTGCCCTAAGCGTCTGTACACGGTCTGCCTTGAAATTGTCGTACCAGTGGCTGAAGAGAGCTGACGAGACAGGTCCGAGGCTGTGCTCCGCCTGTTTCTTTTGGCAGTAATTGCCAAATACCGGTCCTCATTCGGCGTCGTAACTCTGGGGCGACCTGTGCTGTAACGTCTACTCACATTACCATCATCTTGGAATCGTTGCCAAAGCCTGGAGTTGACACTATGGGCAATTTCAAGTTCGTCTGATACTTCCAGTTGGGTACGCCCACATTCCAGACGGCCGATAATTCTACCACGTAAAAAATCATCGAAATGTGTCCTTTGTGTCATAACTATTCGGTTATTGCACTGAAATGCTTATAAAGCGCCTGCGAACAATTTTACTTCTTTGCCTGTATTCCTTATATATCACTCTCTTACACTCTCGTCATTGTGACGTACCATCGGTGTCATCTGGTTACTTCCTGAAATTTGCATATGATTCTTGAAGATGTGTGTAGTGATTTTACAGGTGATATATTTATTTTAGAGTTCGATTTCCGCGTGACTCCGAATTATCCTTAATTTATGGACATGAGTGTACTTTATACGTTAAAGATGTAATTTAAATCGTACTAAAAAGAAAAGCGTTGTAGGCAACAATTTACTCTTAATTTAGAAGACATAAAAGCCCGAGTTCTTGTTTGTGTATTTAATATATCTCTTCATGAGTTCCTTGCTTAATGAACGACAATTTACTTTCGTCCATGTTTTACGCAGAATGCTAGACGTCAGTGAAGCTCCAAAAGAAAACCGCATAGATGGCCTTTCAGTACACAGAGGGATAAATAAGCATATAAAAAGAAACAGTACATAATTTATTTATGAAACATAATATACTTCTTTCCTGTATGATTCAATTAGACACTCCGTGTATGCAAATAAAATTTCTTTGGCCGACATCATCGTTACTCTTATTTTTGAAGTATGATACGTTCTGTGAGACATACAACGTCATCTACCTTTAAAACTCGCAAATTCACTGTTGCCATTTTGAAAAAGAATTAAATTTTTAGCTATCTTAATTTCTTTTTGAGCACATTAGAAAGTTTTACACTTAATTTTATTTACATCTTTATATGCCACCCACCCGGTATAGTGGTTAGCTTCGCTGAATGTCGTGATGAAGGGCCCGGGTTCGAATCCCGGAGAAGGCATGAATGTTTGTAAATCTATAGTGTTGGTGCGGGATGGCCGTACTTTCAATATGCGGCGAGCATATTAAAGTCCTCTCGTGTGGTTTGGGGGAAGGGCAGAGGGGTGAGAGACTCTCGAACCCGTCCCCTTGGGGGATCTGCATCAGAACTGGGGGCGGAACCGAGCTAAGTCGCACTGTCACCTGTAAGGTTGCCAACAACAGGCGTATCTTGCGCTTCTTGCCACGAGGAATGTCGTGGGTTGGGGCTTATGTTACTGTCAGACAAGTGAGCTTAAGTAACAATAACATCTTTATATAAGAGTTACATCATGACACCTAAATGGAATTCGCTAAAAGCAATACAATTTTTATAATCAACTAAATGTTTTGAAATATCACTAAATATCTTTCATATAGCATTAATTGTGAGCATTTACGCATTTAACATGAAGGAATATAACCACTCATTCATTTTCATAACAGTTTTTATTTACATTGCAGTTTTCTGTTACTTGTCGGGAAGGGAGAGAAATTGCTGACGTAAGCAGTGCCGATTGGAGACGCGAATCAAATGAGATTCATAATTTTCGGATATGGCAAAATGTGAAAGATTTAATTACTTCTTTTTATTTATTACATTCATTTAGAAAATACCTTTCGTTAATGAGACTTAATCTCCGTCATTTAAACACTCGCATTCTTAATAAGAAAATGCATCTAAGAAGAGAATAATATGTACTCGCTAAGGGTGTAAAGGAATCTGGCTTCCAGTGGCGTTAATTAAATTTTTAGACTTTTCAAACTTTTGTCAGATGCTAAAGATATTTCTTTTGGATCAAAACTAGGCGTCAGTTTCCTAAATCAAACGTTATTATGATTATCACATTTTATTCAGGGGATTTAGTTTCCCGGTCAGAATTTCGTAGAGATTAGGAAACACACTGACGTCTCGAAAACTTTCCATCTTGGTTGTAGCTAATTAATTCTAAAAATATAATTGTTTACGAATTTATTACAGGCTGAAAGAGAATTTTCATTATTTAAGCAGGGGGAATGAAACAGGTGAATTATTCTCTGATGATTTTTAATATATTATTCCAGGGATTTATCTTTGGCATTTCTCTTTCACTTTTGCAGACGTTAGTACAAAGACGTTAGTAGTCATAGTTAGACGTTTGGTATACGGCTATACCAAAATATTTATAATGTTTTATCTGCTATTTTGCTTGGTTATGGAAAGAGATGCCGGGTCAACTACATGGGCGTTTTCGTGGTTTTTCCCATGTGTAACATGTATACGAACCAATTTCCCTTAAAAATTCCTCCACGAAGGCATCCCTTCCCTTAGCCAGATAGTACTTTAAAAAAACACAAATTGAAATAATTTTAAATTTGAAATTTATATAAGCTTTATACGAACAGAGAAATTTTGTTAAATGTATATATATATATAGACACTCTGTTAAAATGCCAGGTGAGCTCAGATTTTCTTTTTTCTATTTTTATATAATGGTAAATTGCGCATTTTTTGCTTTAAAAATGATTGAATTATGTTATTCTTATCTTCTGATTAAGGTTTTTATGCTTTTAGTTATTTTGCATGCAATAGTTGTAGAATTATCAACAATTTAAAAGTTGCTAAAGTGAAGCTAAACCTAATTATTGCGTACCATAGCAGCCATATTTGTTTACATTTGAAACTTAGTAGAATACTGAATTAAGTCAGTTTCTGCACCACCTTCAATGTGTTTTTTGTGCACTGAAAAATATGCCTTCTTGCCCGCTGGCCGATTTTCTTGTTTTGAGTACAAAGCCTAATTTTAATTGTAAATTTTTTAAAATATTTTAACTGTATTTAGTGTTTTATGGTTTTCTATATTTTTGAATTTTTATGAAAATATTTGGAGTTTTTATGTATTTTTGCCTTACCGCGAAGTGAGAACTGAACTGAGAAATATATATCTAATGAAATGTAAAGAGATAAGTTTAAATGAATTGCAGGGGAAAAGTGCGTGTAATTTAATATTCCGTACAAGGAAGTGACATCAGATTTTTTTTTAATAGCGCCAATAGTTAATATTCCCTGATAAGACTAATCATTTACACTAAATTAATACTTAACGCACTTTTTTTCATCTGGTGATTATATTTTTCTGAAAAAGTTTTCCTTTCTTTTCTATACTTATAATTCAGATATAGAGTTTACCGATATTCTCTCTACTTAACCAACTGGAGCAAAATTTTAGTTTCACCTTGTTTTTTGGTAACAGGACACCTTATAGAATTTACCTTAACACATTTTTTGTCTTTCTGCTTCCTTCTAAAAAATATAGATTTTCCTTTTTGATATCGCAAAGAGAGACATTCTTATGGAACTAAATGACGTTAAAATAACCGAAATGACGTTAAAATAAAAATGTAGTAATCATTAATTTGCAAGTTAAAAATGTTTCAATCTTCGCATGTTCAGAACATAAATTACCAAGTCATGAAAAGTAATACATAAAACGTGAATCTGTTCTAATAATACGTATTAAAAATATATGTGATAAAATTAAAAAATTAAAAAAAAGATTTTGTACCTAGCACCTTTTGTAAAGCGTTAGAATCGTTTTTTTGGATAATGCTGTAAATGTTTTAAAAAATGTTATCAGTTGGATGTATTTTATTAATATATTATAAATTAGATCAATTAAATTAATTAAACTGAAAATTATTCGCAAGGCGATTAGTCATTGTTGACATACGGGTTGATGGTCACCTGACTGGGATGTGGTAGTAAACGTAAATAAATTATAGACTTGCTCACTTGTATTCTGACCAATTAAGTGCCGAAGAACCTAGTGAACTACTAAGCGAATAATCCCTTAAGTCCAAGAACAGAGACGTAAGCTGAAGACGGGTTAATTACCCTTTATTTGCTCAAAATAAGATTAAATGTCGGCCGCTTTCTCAGCGCGTCCAGCAAAGCCTCTACTTGGGCTTAAAATGTAAGAAATAAGAAGTAACTAAAGAGATTTAGCCAAAACGTAGCCCAAAGACAAACGCGCGCTACTCAGGAATCCTCATTTTCTCTCTCGAAGTCAGTAGAACTTGACTTATACTATTCTCCTTTGCATTTAACGCCAGTCTAAAACCTCATTCTGGTACGGAGTTGTAAGTTTAAAACAAGGATGGAAAGGAAAGGGTTACAGAATTAAAATATACCTTACAACATTATTTAAAATGTATGTACCGCGGTGTCCATCAAGGCCGTCGGTCACTAGTCCCTTAATTCAATGATTAATGGGCAGTCAATCATAACCTGTAGTTGAATGTGGGCAAATAAAAACCAACATTTGGTTGAATATACCATAAATGTATACAAATTATTAAAATAAAATAAAACCGTATGATAACGATGACTGTCAACATGGTTTGTGAGAAATTACTTATTAAGCTAACAGCCGCCTGATGTAGCCCATGCAATATTTCATGAAATATCTAATGCTCGGTAGCGTAACTTTTTCTTTAACAGACAAAATTATTTTAGTCTGGTAAAGAATATTGTTGTTTTGTTGTACAAGATAATTAGTTCAAAAATATATTTGTGTTTCAGAGCTCTAGGTCAAGGAGCGTTTGGAGAAGTTTACCAGGGATATCTTACCAATCCGGCTGACAACACCGAAAGACCTGTGGCAGTGAAGGTACATATTTTATTGCGTTGCATTCACTGCTTAATTTGTATAGTTCATTCTTTATTTTCTTTACTTTTATTTTAAAAACTTAAAATTTATTATAAACTTAAATCTTGCGGCAAGCAAAACAGAGTGGATATTTACGCATTTCTTAAACTTGTCGTCAGCATTTTAAATAATACTCGTAATTTAGTGAATAATTTTGTTTTAAATTGTTGCAAATGTTTCCGTTTATTTGTTTGCAATTTAGTTTATTCTCGCAGCTATTTTACTTTAACATTTTTACCTTATTAACATCGCTATACCTCATTTCATTATAGTATTATATCGTTTGACTGCATTTAAATAGCATTCTCGAGACGGCAGACTCATGATTTATTAAAAATATATTAATTAAATTAATTAAACTGAAAATTATTCAAGGCGAATAGACACTGTCGGCATACGGCTTGATGGCCATCTGATTGGGATTTTGCAGTAAACCTAAATACATTGTAATTATATGAATGTGCACTGGTGTCCATCAAAGCTGTCGGTCACTATTGACTTAATTCAATGATTAATGGGCAGTCATTACCTGTGGTTGAATGTGCTATGAATTTAGACAAATTATTAAAATAAAATGTAGTTTATGTATATTTTATAATGTAGTAATGAAATGATTATAATGTAGTTTTGATCGACTCTTTATTGCGCATTGTGAACACTTTTTTTTCCTTTATGCATAATTATATTATAGAGCTTTTATTTTTAAATCTATAAATTGTAGAACTGTAAAGATAGATCAAGTTAAACCGGAGCAATGGACAAATGGTGTGTGTGGTGTGGTGTATTTAATTATGGCAAAGCACACGAGGGCTATCTGCCTAAGGGGATGTCTTCATGGAGGACTTTCTAAGGAAAACTGGCTCGTATACACGTTACACATAAGGAAAACCACGAAAACGCCCATGCAGCCAGCCCGTTCGCAAGATTCGAACTTCGGACCGAACTACCAGTGTTCAGCGACTTTACCTCTCGGCCGCTGGTGGACCCACAATGGACAAATGAAAACCATGTTTCGGATTTCGATGAGAATTTCAGTCGGCGAGTTGGCTGTATTTGGCAGTTTCTCACCAACTTGGCAACATCAAAGAAATTCTCCTAAACACACTTTAAAGTCCTATAAACGATTTTCTAAAAGCTTCTAGAAATCCATATTTTCCCTCTTGGTCATCTCTGTTAAATAAGAGCTGTGAGTGGCCATCAGTTAGCCGTACTCAGATTCTTGTTTTAGTTAACATTGAATGTTATCATTTCATCATTTTTGTATAACAGACTTAGATGTTCCTCATTGTGACTCATCATTCAGCTTACAATTTTTGCACTTTACTATATTCCGAAAACGATCCTGGGATTTCTGGATAGGATATGAAGCGCAAGCAAACTGCTGCTAATAGGAAGATGTAGAATAATATTGCTATATCTAAGAAGTATGAAGTTTGTGTATAAAATAACTAGACTGTGTTACTGGACTTTAACAAAGTAATGAGAATTGATCGTGAGCAGTTACCACGTAAATTTAAAATTCTCCAAGCACGTGTGCTCAATGGCAACATTCTCTGTCACTTGTATGGCATCCAAGGCTCTTGCCAAGGACAGGCGGAATCTTGCTTTATTGCCACAATGAATTTCGAGGGCTTTCTCTGAATCGCTTATCACACAAGCGAGATTAGTCACAACAGCAACAAACAATATTCTCTTTAGGTAATTTCACTTAGAATGAATCACCTCAAGTCCTCACACAAAAAGGAAAACGAATGTAGCAAGCAAGTTTGCATCAAGATTCTTCTGCGGTTTGAGATGCATTGAAACCTTTTTCAAAAACTAATCGCTTATTACACTGGCGTGCAAAACTTAAGCAACAGGTGTTCGTTTTGGCATAACTCCACGAGAAATCATCTGAGAGACATGAAATTCAGAATTAAGAGACAGCATTTTGTATTTAAACGATGACGAAAGCATAATTTCTCTAAAAATAAATACAATGCATACGGTATGGAATCAAACAAAAACAGGCTTTATTGAACTCATCGTTACTCATGATTGTCTGTACAAGAGGAAGAACAACAAGCAGGTGTTCCTTAGTATGGGAAATGCTCTCCCGTTACTGCAGTGGTTGCTTCGAAAGGTCTCTCCATACTCAGCACCAGATTTTCCAAACGATCTTGAGGTAAGAGTGCCCATTCCTCAATCAGCATCTGTTTCAGTTGTTGGGAGTTCCCCGGAGGATTTAATCGTGTCAGAAGTGTCTCCTCAAAGCATCCCACACACGTTCTATGGGTTTTAAATCAAGGGAGCATGCTGGCCAATCCATTCGAGTGATATCTTAATTTCTCATTAGCTTCTGAACAGCAAGCGTCCGGTGTGGCCGTGCATTGTCATCCATAAAAACGAAGTCTGCTCCAATGGCCCCTCGGAATAGACGCACATGGAGAAGGATCACCTCCTGACGATAGCGATCTCCGGTTACAGAACTTCTGTCTTAAACTTGGAGCTCCGTCCGCCCGTTCAGCATTATGCCTCTCCAGACGAGATCTTCAGGACACCGTAACTGTCTCTTTCCGTAATGTTACTGAGATTAAACCGTGTCGCGACCTCTCTCCAAATCAATTTGTGTTGAGAATCGCTTGTGGCACTAAAACGATTCTAATCCGTAAGGAGGATACGACTCCATTGATGAGATGCCCAGATTTCGCGCTCATTGCACCACTGTAAACGATGATGCCGATGGCCAACTTTCAAAGGTAGGCAGCATTCAGGACGGCAGGCGCGCATAGGCCACCTTTGTGAAGGTGTTTGGACACAGTAAACCACAATTGTCGCCCGTTGCTGTTCACAGTTGTTGAGCTGTAGTGCTTGCTGACTGGTTTCGGACTCTTTTCGTCTGCAGGACTATACATCGATTATTTGCTGCAGTTTGTTTCCTGGGACAGTCACCACCAACCTTTCTAATAGTATGGTATAGGAGGCTTTTCTAAATGCGCGAAACGCCACTTTGTTGATTCCGAACTCTTCAGCTATACTGGTCACACTTCGCCCCTACTCCAGATTTTCGATCATTCTTCCACGTGTGAAATCATCCAGATCATTTTTTCTAACCATATTTCACGAAATAACTCCTTGTACTTGCAGCAAATGTCTTTATTCGCATCTCCATTCTTCCTTTTATGGTAATCTAGAGTTGAGCGCGCCAACCGTACGCGTTTTGCGTACACTCATGTAGACTGTGACCTTTTTTTTCTTGACATTTGCATACGCATGACCTTTCTATTGAATTGTGTGTTCATTGTACTGAACGCAAGAATCCCTTTTCTACAATTTCATGGCTATCTGATTAAAATTTACATTGTTGCTTAAGTTTTGCACACCAGTGTACGAAATCAGGATCTTCCACTGTAAGCCTGGAACGAGACAATGGCCAATGCATCGGAAAATTCCTGATCTGAAATCGGTGCTTAAAGGAACATATTTTGAGTAAATGAATGTAGTAATGAAGAAAACACCAAATATCTTGAAGCACATAAGAGAAACCGATCTTTTGAGCAATGGTAAAGAAGACTGTTTCAAAGCGTAGTTGCAAATTACAACAGTAGAACTGTCATGCAAATAAGTAAAAGGAATTATTATATCAGTCTCATTATTTAATAGACATCCTTTGTATATTGTTGTAGCACTCAGGTATTTAAAGGGAGGGTTTCCTTTAAATATTTCAATGGAAAATTTTGAAAACTGGTTGGTATGCACTTGACGCCATCCATGTAGCCAAACCTTAACCAGGACTTGGAAGTCATAGAATTACCACTCTTCAGCGGTCACTCATTACACTGATGGGCCCGCAGAAATACTATAGCAAAGAAACGACGAAACAAATTGAACGATTGAAAACTATTAATTTTTCCTAAAGAATACTGTAAAAAGACTCTTTATTTTTTCTTAAAAATACTATTTAAACCTTAATAATTATTAATTGTCTTCTATTAAAGTGCTCTAGATCTTCACAAGGAAAGACAAAAATTCATGTGAGTTTTATTTTCGCAGCCCCTTAAGTCAGGACATATGTTAAATGTTTTATCCATCAAGGCTACCGCAAAACAGCATTTTATGAAATATTTTTGGCCTCTGCTACTTTCATCTGTGTATATTAATGACTTCCGTAGAATTATATTGATTTTCACTTTTTAGCGTAATGCTTTTATAAGGTGTTTCTCCGCCTTCTTAGCGTGCCTTCGTGGTGTAGTGGTCTGCACGCTTGGCGCGTATTCGAGAGGTCCGTGGTTCTATTTTCGGCGAGGGCACTGCTCATTTTTCATGTCTTCTGCTTCCAAATACCTAATGTCGCTACAGCATAGTAATGTATATGCGATATTAAGTAGTTTATCACAACATATGCATTATTGTAAATGATTTGCACAGTTTTAAACTTTAGATTAAGCTATGATAGACTAGATCTAGATATAGGTTTTGGTAGATTGTATGTATTAAATGCGTTTTCAACTTTCACTCTTTTCAGTTTACGATGGGTTTATCAGGATGTAAGTCTCAAAGCCAGCAGTACAGTTAATCTCTCCTTTGTTGTTATTACGCCAAGATGTTTTAATAGCATTTTTGTACCTGTTCCGTGGATTGTAGTGGCTATGCAATCTAATCGCAAACGTTGCAGATTATGAAATTTCTTAATACTTAACCAAAATAGACTGAATAGCTTTTGACTTTAACAAAGTAATAAGAAGAAAAATGTAAAAATGATTTATTTATAGCCAATTTAGACCTCTTTTTTTCTCCTATTTTCCTCTACTAAAGTCTTGTAACGTAAATACGTTTAATGAAAAATGAAGTTGTAGCATAATGCTTAATCCATGTAGCCAAACCTTAACCAGGACTTGGAAGTCATAGAATTACCACTCTTCAGCGGTCACTCATTACACTGATGGGCCCGCAGAAATACTATAGCAAAGAAACGACGAAAC